TGTCGAGCATTAAATATGGTTTGGATTGTTTAGATAAAATATTACAACAGAGTCAAAATATGTTCACATTTCAAAAGTTGTTTTATTTTGAGTCATTCATTCACTTGTAGAGGTTGCCAGGTTTGAACATCGTGACAACCAGAGTGACAAAGATAAGGGGTATTTTAGCAGTAAAACATAATCCGGAGTTTCAACATTTTCTTATGGGAGCTTTTTGGTGGCTAAGTGATGTTATGTAGTTAAGAGTAATTTTTGGTCTTTAAAATATATTTATTAATTCGCTCTTGCTAATAATATTTGAAGAATATTAGCTAAAAAATCAATAAATATTAAAAATTATGTTAGAGGTGTATTTAAAATTATAGGAATATATATAGTCATACAATTCATTATATATTTTTTAACTAGTGTTCGGCATTTGCTTTATTACTTTAGTCTCTAAAATTTAAAATTTTTAATATCTTCCATCCCTCTGTCTATTTAAGTTTAAGTTTAAAGTGTGTTTAAATGAATAATTTATTTTTTGAAAAAAAAATGTAATTTATGGGTTAAAATTTATTCTTTGAATATTTAATTTTAAAAAATTTTAAAGTTCAGAATTTTTATTGAATTTTTAATAGACTAAAATTAAAGTATTATAAATCCTAACAAAGGAGTTAGAATTTGGATTTATTTATATTTATTTCTTGTGTCTTCCATTTAAATTTGGTTATGGTTAATTTAATAATTTAAATTATATATTTTTTATTAATTTTGTCAAATATAGTGATATTTTTATTTTATTTTTTAAGAATGTAAGTAATTTAATTACTCTATCCAAACAAAAAATTTGAAATGAAAGAAATTTAATTATTCTTTCAAAACAAAATACTTTAAAATAATAGAAATATAAATGATATAATTTAAATTTCTTAAAGTTAAATTAGTTTCTGGACCGAAGGGTAATGGTACCCGATCTGGGTTTCCAGGAAAATTGGGCAGCAATATATGTAAAGTGGCTTTTAACTTGCTGGTTACTGTCATATTTACCCAGCAAAATTTCAACCTTTGAGTACCAAAAAATGAAATGCTAAGTAATGGAAATAATGGGAGAGCACGGTTCTATAGAATGATTATTTTTTTGACATCATGAAGCTGAAACGGGAATGGATGAACCCCACCATTTATTGTACCTTCGCGTTGATAAGTTTAGTGTGGTTAACATTTTGCGGAGTGGGTTGCTGAGAAGGCACAAATTTACATTATTCTAGTGAGTATACATACACTAGCACTATGTTGCCAACAACCTTGAGTGGAAAAGACGTTCCTGTATTTAAGGTTGAACTTCTTGAGGGGAACAAAAACACCCTGCTTCAAATCAACCTAAGGGGTTAATGGATTATCAACCCCCTCAGTCAGCACCCAAAATCATGGTTTATGCGAACAACCGAGTTTCCAATTTGTAGTGAAATGAGGCTGCTCCAATAAAAGAGATCATCATAATCACCAAATTTCTATTGAATTGGAAAATTGTATGATTAACTAAACATCGTTTTATACTGTATTATATCATTGTCATAAAATGAATCTATAATGAAGTTTGAAATAGGTGAAAATTCCAATCATTTGATAAAAAAAATGATTTAACTCAAACGATGATATATTGCAATGATTGAAGATTGAGGGTTTGTTTGAGATTTTGTAAAGAAAAACAATTTTTTACTTGAAAAATATTTGTTTTTAATACGAATTCTTTCTTTCACATTCTTCAAATTTTGTGAAGATGGGGTTTATAGAAAAGAGTTGTGCCTGTCCTTAATAAAGTCTCCTCTCCATTTCGATATTTTATCCTTGTCCCTCACAACTTGGAAAGGTGGCATTCTTTTTCCAGAGAGCATAATTGACGTGTAAGGTCCTACGGGGATTCTTCGTGATGAGATCTTTCAACTTTGATGTGGTCATGGGTTAAAAAAATTATACTAACTTCCCTTGAGCTTTATATTTTTACCTTTTATTAAAGAATTACATTTATCCCTTGTTCTTTTCATATATTATTCTTAATATTGATATCTATTTTTTTAAAAAAATATTTTTATATACAAAATTATAATAATAAATATTGTATCTTTTAAAATAAAGATTGAGGTTAGTGGAATTACTCTAGTAAAAAAAGTTTTCAAATGTACATAAGCTTAAAAAAATAATATTTTTTATGCGAGAGAAATCACAATTTCTAAAGATATTTTTAAAAAATATATTATAAAATTTTTTAGTATTTATTATAATACTCGTAAACTTAAGTATAATTTTTTTAATATCTTAAAGATCAAAGGACACTTATGTATTTTAAAATAAATTATCAACTGTCACGTTCTATTATATATATTTAATATAAAATTAATAATAATTATTATTATTTTACATATAAAAATACACTCTTAATTTATAAGTTATCGTAAAAATTATCAAATTCTTTTAGAAATCTGTGTAAACAATTTTTAGTATTGTATCTAATAAGCAAAGATTTTATTTGTAGAAAAATAAAAAATAACAGAATTTTCATGTATAATTATTTCGAGTGTAAAAGTGGAAACAAGTTAAATCTATATTATTTCTCTTTAAAAATGTTTGGTACACATTTATTTATTGGACTAATAATTCTTTATATATGTTGATGTGACAATTAAAATATATATAATTGTGTAAAAATAAAAAGACAAATTAATCATGATAAGATAATAAAATTATTAATATAAAACAACGCGGGTATATAATGATGCGCGTAACGTTATTATTTTCTTCAAAATTACGCCATCACAAAGCTATAGTCTTTGGTTATTGATCTATAATTATCCACTGTTTTTTTTCAGTCAAAACAATAACTCATATATGTGAATGTGACACGAAAACTAGGTCGGTTAGTTTAGGACTTTCGACTGGTGAGTTTGTGATGTCCTTACTAAGATTAGCCAATGCGATTTGGATAGTACTGTCCTTAATATATAGCCCATTAAAATAGTTAATAATAAAAAAAAGAGGCATATAAAGATTTTTAAAATATAATTTCCAAAAAGTAACTTGAACCATATGAATTTCATAAATTATACACTCAATAGACAGTACTTTCATTAAGATCAACTTTCTTTCAATGGGTAGAGAGGTAGCCAAGGCAAATTCTGAGCATAGCATAGAGAAAATATGGTGCGCATGCACCATCATTTGAATGCTTTATGAAGTTGGAGGAAGGTCCCAACGAAAGTGGAGAATTTTTTTTCAGTTGTCATTGTTGATGGATTCGGTGGTCATCTTATCAAAATTACAGGACCAATACTTTACGTGACTAATTTGTCTTCATGCAATCCATTTTTTAATTAGTAGGAAAAAAAATGAAAAACAAAGAAATTAAAGAACCATGCAAATGGTTATGAATTTGTGATGGTCAATGCATCCTCAAAAATAATCATTGACCATTTAAAAGGCTTCCTCAGTCTCTAAATGATAACTTTCTTTTTTATTTATATAATGTGTTTTAGAATGATGCTGATGCACAAGATGCAACGCAACATTGAATAGCCCTTCAGAATAAGGTTCTGCTTTTTTTTAGTCCTCCCATTCATGGGGAGTTTACTATGGCTGTGTCTTGTTATTTGACTGAATAACAACCATGAATCTTTTTTCTTTTTTTTGGAGTACAGAAAATTATAATTTAGTTTACTATAAACGATTATCAGTGTTATCAAGGTTATTAGTGTTCTTACATGCGAAAAAATGAAACTTATAGCAAACACATATTTAACACTGCTTATACACTGTTTCCTAATTTGAAGATTACAGTTTCAAATCCTATGCATCACATCAGAGATGGATCCAGGGAAAGTATGAATGGGAGCAATTTAGTAAATAAATTAAAAATTAACATTAATTATTATCAGCAAGTATTAAAATTGTGTAAAATTTTTAAAATTTCACATCGCAGTAATTGGTGGGATGAGGTGACTAATTTATATGCAACCACCGGCATAAACAAGAAAAGACTCACTTTTAGCCATTAGATCATGTCCACATTGAGTGTGACACGCTGCACAAATTCAACTAAGTTATCAATTTCCTTCATTTGTAGTGTACTGTGAAATGTTATTAACTGTTTTGAACACTCCTTAATATATTCTTTATGATTAGTTAATTTAAAAATAAAATAAAATACTTATTTTATAAATTAATCACTCTTGAAAAAATATTTTGAAGATTAAAAAAATTAACTAATTATAAAAAAATACATTAAAAATATATTTCAAAAGCATATTACTAACCTTTCACAAACATCTTTTTAATCTTATCAACTCATTCACTAATGCTAATGCACCAAGTCACCAACCCTTAATTGGTATATCAGACAACTCAACTAAACATGTGTCGGAAATCGTAGAATTAATTGCAGAGACGGTAGTAGTAACCGTTGACAACAACATACCAACACAGTACCAAAAGTCTTCGATTTTGTTTTTTAATTTAATACTACTACAGTCACAATTTATGTGTGTTAACAACAAAACGAAGAAATTGCCTTTTTTTTTTTTCCTTGTATCATGCCAAGACAGAACCACGTAAATTTTAGCAATGCACATGGAATTGTCATGATTTGTCTTTACCATTCTAATCTCAATAATTTGTTGCTAGTCACAAACTTTTGGTGTTTTTCATTTAAGTTTATAATATTATTGTAACCAGTCGACCAAATATGTAACATCAGAAAATGATGTTGCAATTATATGAGAGAGAGGGTGAACGGAGGGAAAGAAAGACCAAAGAGGGAGGAATGTGCACGAAGCACACGGATCTGCACCACACACGAAGGCAGGTCCTGGTGAATATACCCCACTTTTTCTACTTCAAATTGGCTTTATCTCATATAGTAAACACATTATGAAAGTGTAAGTGCTACCATTAGAACTATTCGCTATCAACACCTCATTTTCCTGGGTCACTATTCATCATTAGTGCTACAACGCCTACCCTCCTACATCCACAATAATATCATCATCATCGTCATCATAAAAACTCTAGCTCCTTATGTTGAGATTGCCATTTTAGCCTATTCTCCTCAACAAATATTTTGCTTAAAATCTACTCTAACTCCTTCAGGGATACATACATATTCTTTCTGAAAATCTATCAAGAATTTGTGCCTTGGTTGTATAAGTAGAATGGAGAGAAACTTCAGCTCATATAATCCTCAACTAGCCTCTAGCTTGAAAAAGACTTACAAGACGCAGGAGCATCATCATCTTAAAGAAGATTGTATGTCTCCATCTTTCAGTCTACGGAATGTTTCAAAGCTCATTCTTCCTCCACTGGGTGTCTCAAGCCAGAATCCAGTGAGCACAAAAGGATGGATCATATCTCCAATGGATTCAAGATACAGGTAGAATCAATTGCCTAACCACTAAGATTATGATTTGGAAACCGTAAGTACTCTCTTGGTGAATTCCTAAGACTTGTATGCCAGTAGCTTTATCTCATAAATATTTATAGAATCTGTATCAGCGTGATATATATGAACTTTTAATTTTGAAGTTCTTTCTCTTAATATTTAAAGTTTTTAGTACTTCCTAGCTTTGAGGTAAAATTTGATTTTGCAACAACATGAAGCATGAATAGTAAGATTGGTGTTCACGGGTTTAAAATTCATTTGGATGTACAGGTGTTGGGAGAGTTTTATGGTTCTTCTGGTGGCTTATTCTGCATGGGTGTACCCCTTTGAAGTTGCTTTCATGCATTCTTCAAAAAATAAGAAAATATATATTGCGGACACTTTTGTTGATCTTTTCTTCGCTATTGACATTGTTTTGACATTCTTCGTGGCTTACATTGATCCAACAACTCATCTACTAGTTCGAGACTCCAAAAAGATTGTAGTGAGGTTAGTAAATCACTGATTTTTGTACCTTGTCATGAGCTATTCTTACTACTGCCGAAACCAACTAGCTCAGCAACTTCTACGAGCTAATTTTTTTTATCTCTTGGGTCATATTTATACTGTTGGTTCCCTCTTTCTAGTTAGATTAGGACAAGCAAAATGAAACTAATTCGCCTAAACATTTTTTCAGTAATCCTGAAATTTCGACCATGTAAATGCCTAAAATAATGGATAACCTTTCCGGTGAATGTATGGTATAGGAAGTCTAGAAAAAGTTATGAGAATAATGTTACTATTTTATGATTCTTGAAAAATATTGAATGTGAGTATATATGTAAAGTAAAAGTATTATTATTCTAATGAAAAAAAATCAAAAGTTTCATTTACATTATATTATCTAAGATTATCTTTTTTCACCAAAAAAATAAATAAATCTAAGATTATCTTAAAAGAAAGAACTTGATTTGGTATAGCATGTAATTATTCTTTCTCCCGAAGCATGCATGAGGGATTGATTCTACTTTTGTTTCCAAATTTCACTTCCTATTTTGGGAGAGGGTAAACGCGGGGCCTAATTTCCACCGAAGTTTGATAACTGTGATTTGTGTTAGACCAACTTTTCAGCGGTCCGTTTTGAATAATCAAATTCATCCCCAAAAACGGGTCTTTGTCGCAATACGTAATAGTGATTAATGATGATTGTTGTACAATGAACACCTGGCCCAAGTTTGTCCACCAAATTATGGGCCAGGGTCCAAATTGTCATAAAATAAATCGAACGTACTAGAAAGTCAAAACGGGCCAGCCCAATTTTAATAAAGATCCAGTGGTTTAAGCCAATCAGAATGATGCACAATAAATGAGTCCCATATGTTGACCAAAAAAACAATGAGACCCGTGAGACAAAAGAATGATATTGGCATAAAATTACAATTATACTCTTCACATGCTGTCGTATAAGTCATTGCATAGCATCATTCTTACTGCAAGTTCTTTTTAATAATTCATTTTGTACACATTCTCATGTAATTTGTGTGACCTTGTTCCCATAAATATAATCAATGAGTTGCTAATTGTTTGCTCATGTTGGATTGCAACCTCTAAAGAGAATCAAGTCAATAAATTGGAAGAGTAAATGATCACATAGAATATAGGAATCAACTCAGCTGTGATGAAATGTATATAAGGAAATGTCATCTAATTGTACTAGATCATTGCGTCATAGGCAGTGGTGTTTCATTTTTATAAACTGATCTTTTGATAAGTTATGCTCAATTATGGTGAAGTAAACTAATGATGATAGTGTTAGCAATGTTGTGGTAGGTACTTGTCAACATGGTTCGTGATGGATGTGGCATCAACTATACCATATGAGGCACTTGGGTATTTGTTCACTGGCAAACACAAAGTGGGTCTTCCATATTTCCTGTTGGGCATGCTCAGATTTTGGAGAATCAGACGTGTCAAGCAATATTTCACAAGGTTTTCCATCATGCTTTTTCTAATAATCCACTTTATCATTTGGTTGTGTTGTGTGTTATTACCATGTAAAAATTAAAACTGATCTAGCTGCACTTATTTGCCAGGCTTGAGAAAGACATCAGGTTCAGCTATTTCTGGGTTCGATGTGCTAGGCTTCTTTCTGTATGTGATATTTTATTCCATTCCTATTTAGAAAATTAATTCTTCTATTTGTTTTAGTCAATAAACATCTGTCTCATTGATTATCAAAATTGTCATTTTTCAGGATTTTGCCAATCTTTACATGATAATATTTGGTGCCAAAATGACTATTTTAATTCCTTTGAAATATATTGCACTTAAAGTAAATAGAAAACATGCATATCAAAATCTACACAAGCTCACATTTAGACAGGAGAAGAAAGCAAAATCCTTGGCTTTGACTAGATAAATCACACTTTATTGTTTATATAGAAATTATTGAAACAATTCTGAAAAAATTTGGTGCAGGTAACACTTTTTTCAGTTCATTGTGCTGGTTGTCTCTATTACATGCTAGCTGATCGCTACCCGCACCAAGGAAAGACATGGATTGGAGCTGTGATTCCTAACTTCCGAGAGACAAGCCTTCGAATCAGATACATTTCAGCCATATACTGGTCCATCACTACTATGACCACCGTAGGTTATGGTGACCTCCATGCCGTGAACACCATGGAAATGATCTTCATTATTTTCTACATGCTCTTCAACCTTGGCCTAACAGCTTATTTGATTGGCAACATGACAAATCTTGTTGTTGAAGGAACTCGCCGTACCATGGAATTTGTAAGTTCTGTTTTACATTATATTACTTTTCTTTGGTTCACCTAAGAGATATATAAAAAAAGTAATTCATATAGGTTATGGTTACTAAGAATTGGAGATTTTGTTATCCTATTCTTATTCATAATTTGGAGGAAGGACACCTCTATGTAGGATTCTTGGTCTGGTGCGAGAATTATATATGTGTGACTAATGTCTCATATGATGTTACCGGTGCAGAGAAATAGCATTGAAGCAGCATCGAACTTTGTGTGCCGAAATCGGTTGCCCCCAAGGTTGAGAGAGCAAATCTTGGCTTACATGTGTTTAAGATTTAAGGCAGAGAGCTTGAATCAACATCAGCTTATTGAACAGCTACCGAAGTCAATTTGCAAAAGCATCTGCCGGCATTTGTTTTCTGCTACTGTGGAGAAAGTCTATCTATTCAAAGGGGTCTCAAAAGAAATTATTTTGTCCCTCGTATGAATCTAAACTTGATTCTAACAATTCTATGGACACAAATTAACCATTGTAAAGGTTAATTGATGGAAAAAAATTGTCGATGTGCAGGTAGCAAAAATGAAGGCAGAATACATACCACCTAGAGAGGATGTTATCATGCAAAATGAAGCACCAGATGATGTGTACGTTATAGTGTCAGGAGAAGTGGAGATCATAGATAGTGTAATGGAGAAAGAGAGAATATTGGGGACCCTACAAACAGGAGACATGTTCGGAGAGGTTGGTGCACTTTGTTGTAGACCTCAGAGCTATACCTACAGAACCAAGACTCTCACACAGCTCCTGAGGCTGAAAACTAATGCTCTTATAGAAGCAATGCAGATTAAAAAAGAAGACAATATACAAATACTCAAAAATTTCCTTCAGGTGGGGTATCTTGTCTTGTGGGTTCTTGATCATAATACCTATGGTTTTCAATTCTAAAACATAATAGATTTAATGAAAATGCAGCATTTCAAGCAGCTTAAGGATCTTAGTATCAGAGATTTAATGGTGGAGAATGTGGAAGAAGATGACCCTAACATGGCTGTGAACTTGTTAACTGTGGCAAGCACAGGCAATGCTGCTTTTCTTGAGGAGCTTCTTAGAGCAGGTTTGGATCCTGACATTGGGGACTCCAAAGGGAAAACCCCATTGGTACGTTCTGGCCTTATAATATTCATGTTTCTTTTCTAGATTTCTCAAAATTGAATAAAAATTTCACACATTCTAAAATTGATCTTGAAACTCTAGTCCAGATCTCATATATATATAAAACGTTGAACCTTTACCATGTAGTTTAAATTTTTAAATGATTAGTTCCTTCCCTTCACTATAGTTCTGATCATAACTTTAAAACAAGCAAGGGATTACCAACAATTATTCGTCAAAAATAACAACTTGTTACTTGTGCAGCACATCGCAGCATCAAATGGATATGAAGAGTGTGTTAAAGTCCTACTCAAACATACATGCAACATCCATATAAGAGGTATAATACACCTATTCCTTTTCTTAAACGTAAATTTCCCTGAATTTTTCTTCTTTATAACTTTTGCCTTCATGTAGTGATTTATATTTCCATTATTGGCAGACATGAATGGTGACACTGCATTATGGGATGCTATATCATCAAAACATTACTCCATATTCCGGATCCTTTATCAGCTTGCAGCCCTCTCTGATCCAAACATAGCAGGCCATCTCCTGTGTACAGCAGCAACAAGAAATAAATTAACAGTGATAAATGATCTTTTAAAGCAAGGCTTAAACATAGACTCGGAAGATCACCATGGTACAACTGCAATCCAAGTTGCCATGGCAGAAAATCATGTGGACATGGTTCGGTTGCTTGTCATGAATGGTGCAGATGTTTCTAATGTACATGATCATGAATTTTCTTCATGCACCTTAAATGAAATGCTGCAGAAGCGTGAAATTGGACACTTAATTACTGTGAATGAGGCCATGACTAGTGAGGTTGCATTTAGAGAACGACATCAAGAAGAGCATGAGCAAATTTGGGGAAGATCTAATGGACTATATTTTCGAAGAGTGAGCATATATAGAGGTCACCCTGTGGTAAGAAGAGAAAAAGGTTTCATGGAACCTGGGAGACTAATAAGGTTGCCTGATTCATTAGAAGACCTCAAAAATGTAGCAGGTAAAGCTTCAAATTTCCCACAAGTCAGTACTGAAATCATGAAATTTTCCAGTAATCAAAGTATCAAATCCATTTGTTTTTTAATGGTTGTCTATATGATTCGCCAAAAAAATATAGTTTTTCTATATTATTGTGTGTAATTTTTGAGAAAGAAAATTTTTAGGTCTTAGTACACTGATACAATTTCATTTGGGTGTGGTATCTTGTTCAACAGGTGAAAAACTTGGGTTCGATGCAAAAGATGCAATGGTGACAAATGAAGAAGGAGCAGAAATAGACTCTATTGATGTGATCAGAGATAATGATAAACTCTTTTTGGTTGAATAGGCTAATGATGCAAAATCTCAACTGTAAATATATAATCTGGCACAAGAGATTTACATGTTTCTTTTTGTGTTGGTTATTTTGTCTCCTTCCTGTAGTCATAAAGAAAGTGGCTTGGTTGGAAATATTTATCAGTTGTCTTTTCCCTTATAATTTATAGTTTTTTGACTTCTGATAACTAAAACAATCATATCCAATTGTAAAAAAAAAAACGAAAATATGGTTGACATTTTTTTTTTCTTTTGATATTAGATAAATAAATAATCAGCAAAGAATGGTTTGAGCTAGAGGAAGAAGAACAAAGGGAATTTCATTCCCTTTGATAGGGATCAAATTATGGGCCTCAAGCATAATCAGTCGCACCCCCAACAGAAAAGCATATCCAACCAAATAAACACCCCGTATGACCGACCAAGTCACCAAACTACCTATTAGAGAGCCCAACAACATGGTTGTCATACGCCAAACAAACAGTGACATTAATCATACGTTGATGGGGTCTTCTAACAAATTGAAATCCCTCGTTAACAAGAAAGAAGCTGTAAAGATGAATTAAACAAATACATGACATGCAATAAACGGGCATATCAATTTGATTGAGACTTGTAATATTGGGTTTTTCTCCACATAGAAAGGAACCTACACCCAACATAGGTCTCACATGTCAGCTTTATTTACTAGGGATCCATCTACGTCCTTTATAAATCTGTCAACCATGATGTTTTCAATTAGCTTTATACCCTTCAAATGTAATAATGTTACAATTGACTTAACTGTCGAATAATTTTCGATAGATATTCTTAATATTACCAGGGATCACTTCATAATGCTAATACCCGCAAGCTTATGAAGTAAACAACCAAATATTTGAGAGCATAAATTCACACTTTGTTTGATGCTAAATTATCATAATAATTATATTAGTTCAAGTACAATTTGCTCTATTGTAATGTAGTGAAGTATACATTTGTTTTTATATATGTATTTTAGAGAAGCCAAATTTGCGTGCAATAATGCAAATAATGCAAATTTAACGCGAGTGTCTTTATGACAAGTGCACTACTCTCATGTACCTCCTCACCTACTAATTTAGATGACTCCTGCCACTGAATGCATGTTTGGTAATGTTTATATTTAGAGGAAATTCATTTCTTTTTCCAAATTTTTCTTTTAAAAATTATTTTTTAAATAAATTATATCAATAATTTTATTAATTTAAAAGACATTATTTTATAGTTTTTAAGTATATGACTTTGTTTAAGAGTTGGTTCTTAATGAGAAAAGGAGAAAAAAAACTTAGTTGATAATAATTTATTTTTTTTAGATTTTTCAGACTAGCTGACGAGGTTTTATAAACCTTCTTACGTTAGTATTTTTTTAGTTCACCCCAAATAAAAAAAATTATTAATTATCATTCCTCTTCGTTTATTTTTTCTTCAATTAGCCTCCAAACATTTTTTTTTCTCCAAAGTTTCAAATAAATACTGAATCGGTTTAAAAAATTAGCAAGAGTTATATGCATGAATAATAACCTAACAGTAGAGTCTAAGAATATCTTATTCTTATATACGTGGAATACTTTTTATTCTTAAGCAATGTTGTTAAACAATGTTTACTTTAAAAGCTAATGAAGTGAAAGAGAGAACACTGACGATTTCATTTACGAGCAGTGAATTTCTCTTATCTCGCATGGTTATTATTAAATTTAAATAATTTTTTATATTTAAATTTTTATTTTTATTAATAATAAATATTATAATATTAAATAGGATTGGGATAAAGAGATAAAAATTTTAAATTAAGAAATAAATTAATGCTGAGTTAAAAAAAATAGTGAATACAGAAGAAATTATATGGCTTTATGAGAAAAAAAAATAACTCTTTAAAACGTTTTATTTAAAATAAATTTTAAAATATTTTATTTAATAATAAAAACTCACATTTGATACATAGATATACATCAAGAAGAGAGAGAAATCATGTCACTCAAAACTATGATAGAGATAAAAGTGTTGTATGTTTCATGATAAATTAAAGAAAAATAATTTTGGGGTCAAAACTATAATAACTCACAGAGCTTGAATTTGACATATTATTCTTTAGAAATACTTGATTTGATTGTGTACACCAGCTATAAGTTATACCCCAGCTTTACTTTATTATTGTAAAATTATCTCAAAGATGCAAATCATTTTCTGATTGCGAATCTATGAGACATGTATAGTCTTAAGACACCAACAAATCCACATATGAATGTTGGTTAGATGTCCTAAATAAAAATGGTCTTTTTCGGTAAAATTAATCAATTAGGGAGATTAACCATACCTCGGATAATGATGAATTGATATCGGGACCAATGTATTTTAATTTGGATACCTTGAACAAAGACTATATATTATTTAAAAGTAGGCAATTTTTTATAATACAAGACCAATATCCGCGAATATTTGAATATGTGATATGGTTTCCTTTAAAGGTTGCATTTGTCCTTAAAATCAGGCTAATCAATTGGAAAGAGCGATTTAAGTGTTGTCCTTTCTAGATATACTTTGATCTTGCTATTATTCTTGAATTCTGCAATAAGAGTTGGTGAAAATAAACCACAAAAGCCTACCAGAGAGGATTCAACTTGTTAATGACCGTACCAAAGTCACTAACACTATTTTTTTTCATATACAGATGATAAAGCTTGATACTAATATAACCACGTATCCTCTTATTACAATTTCATTATATATATTATTAATTTGTTTGTATTTTCTATCACTATGCATCTAATACATTTTCTCTCTAGCTTCCTTCTTATGTCTTTCTCAGCGTATACACAATTTGGGATATGAAATGATGATTTTTGTTACCATTAAGCAAACTCATTAGTGAATATAATAAGGTTAAAATTTTAGCTTCCAGCTGGCAGATTTTGCAATAATCTCAGTAAAATAGATGGAATTGTCTGGCTGAAGCCATTGGTTAGTGGGTGTAAAAGATGGTCCATACTACTGACAAACACATAAATATGAATGTGCTACCTAGAATTGTTGGCAACATGTTTGGCATTATATATTATATTTCATGCAAATGAGGGTGACTTAATTTAATGCCAGTAATAGAATGTAGGGTCCTAAAGGAGAAAGAAGAATCCGCATTGTAATATGTGAAATACTAAAGAGTACACAGAACCCTATCATTCACTTCTCTTTTCAAAAGAACCAAAATGGAACTATGTACAACTTTCTTTATAAGAATACAAAACCAAAAGGGTGCAGTGCGCGAGAAGTTAAAACATGCATATGGGCTGAGAGAAGATAGAGAAGAGGATAAAAAGAAGCACTCAATCCAAAAGGGAACCAAATCAAAATGGAAGAATGAGAAGCAGAATCTTAGTCAAAGTAGTCAAACTTTAACACCAGGGAAACACAATCCAACATATCGTATATGAGGAGCTCCAAGATTGTTAATATTCCTCTCTATCATTCACGTTACACCAAGTCCTTGAAGGAATAACAAAGAAGGAAAAAAAAGTTGTCAGGTAAAACCAAAAGATAAACAGCATGTAGTTTTCATGTTGCATATTTATGTGCTCTATGATCTATATTTCTCTTTTCTGAAACTTTTCCTTATTTTTATTTTATTTTATTACTTCTGTTTTCCCTCTCTTTATAATAGCATCCCGTTTCACAATAAAAACAGCAGATTCCGAAACCAATCATCCCCTCCACTGTTTGGGAAACAACCATAATTGCACCCAACAGGACCTTTCAGCATAGAAACCTGAGCTCCTAAGTTACCCTTTTCTTTGATTGCTGCACCTCTTTTTCCTTAATCTTCCAGTTATATAAATCCATAAACTTTCCCTCAACAACACACCACATTTTTTTCCCACCTTGCAATTTGCTTTGCATGATGGGTTCTTCATGCACTAACTCTTCTGTGAGTGGCTTCTACAACTTGCTCAACCAAGGCCTGAATGAGCTCAACCAATCTTTCCTCTCTCACAGCTTCATGTCCATCCAATTCCTTTCAGAAGTGATCTCATCACTCCAATCCTTCCATTCTCAACTAACCATTTTGGTCCGCAAACTTCGCTTGCCTGTTGGAGGGAAATGGTTGGATGAATACATGGACGAAAGTTCAAGGCTTTGGGATGCTTGCCATGTACTCAAATCTGCCATTTCTGGAATGGAGAACTATTACTCAAGTGCCTCTAACATAGCCTCTTCTGTGGATGGTTACCATCATTTTACTCCAGAAATTTCACGTCAGGTTGGTGTATATGTTAATACTATACACATGTCTCCATCATGTTCTTTTGCCAAAAGCTTATTTGTTTATTGTTTATCAACTTGTTTATTAATGAGTATAATCTAATGCACTCATAAATGCACTACAGGCTATTCGGGCAATAAATGTTTGTCAAAGGGAGATTCTAGGATTGGAAGAGGAAAACAAAAGTTTAGTGGGAACAAGGATTGAACCATTGTCTCAATGTCTGAGCCAGAACATCTCAATGGAATCAAAACTAAATGGATTCAGTGGCTTCCGAGGCGTTCTTTATGCAATGAGAAGTGTTAGCTCATTGCTTCTGATAATTCTGCTTTGTGGGCTTGCTTATTGTTGGTCTTCCTCTTGCTTTCACCAAGGACTTGGAGGGTACGAAGGACACATGGTTTTTGGATCTGGTTTCATGGTTTCAATGACAATATTGCAGCAGAAAGTGGCAGAGGAGATAGACCAGATTGATGGGCAACCGGGGATTCTTTTGTTTGAATTCCAACAAGCAAAGATTGCCATGGAGGAACTAAAAGTGGAGTTGGAGAGAATAGCAGGTTATGAAGCACAAGCTGAGATCCAAGAAAAAGTTGACAACGTTAAGAGTTGCTTTGGGTTGTTGAGATGTGGGGTCGAGACTCTTACAGGGCAACTTGATGATTTCTTTGATGAAATAGTAGAAGGAAGGAAGAAACTTTTGGACATGTGCAGTCATAGGTAGAAGCTAAACAATTTGGATATACGCAGCCATAGCAAGAGAGAAAAAAATATTAGAAAAAAAATTGTTAAAAAATGAGGCAATGGCATCCCCTTTTTTATGCATCAATCTTCGGTCTTTTTTTATTATTATTATCATTTAATTTCTCCAATTTCCTGGTTGATAGTCAATTGATTGATAAGTGCAAGCTAGGCTATTTTGTTAAGCCTTGAAGAAGCTTCTGATAAAACCAAAAATTTTGCAAGAGAAAAGAATGTGATTCTTGCTTTCAAGAAAAGCAACATTACTACTATTCTTCGATAAGAAACCAGAATATTAAGAAGCTAGTAACTTCAAGAGAAAGAAACATCTTTTCATCCAAAGGGCAGTATTCTCTACCTGTTTGGACAGAGGGGAAGGAAGTGGCAACAAAATTCGAAAGAAGATAGTATTTGATAAAGCGTTGCTTTTCCTTTATCTTTTGTTTTTTGAGGGATTAAACGATGCTTTTTCTCTATCCTGCTGGATCAGAAAGCCCTTAGTATATCTCAGTTGTTTTGTTCATTTAAAATATATCTCTGGAGTCGCTGAGAATCTTTTTGTGAAGCAACTAGACTAGAAATCGGCACTATTCTATTCTATTCTGTTCAGGGAGAGAAGTTCCACTCTATCACAATTTTGTATTCTAATGATTGTGCAAAGTTACTATCTTGAATAAAGCATTAAGATCTTATTTGTTGTCTGTTAGTGCATTTTGATATAGAAAATGATGAGAGGAAGAAATCTGCATTTTATATTATTATTAGATATAGTCAGATACAAGCCACCAGGATTGGACTAATCGTGAGAGATTTAGGTTGGTCATAGATTCATACCTTGTTGTTATGGTCCATTGAGATTATGATTGCACAACTTGGAACCATGAAACTATGCTCAACTTTAAACCAATCACTCCCTCAGTAGTTGTAACACATTACATGCTCTTTGCATTGTTGAAGAAAACTAAGTTGGCTAGAATGCAATTTTGGAACACATGACTCAAATGATTATGTTGGTATTGTAGC